AAGAGATTTTTCAAGTATTCACTCTACTGCGTTCTTGTTTATGCCTTTTACTTAAGTTATCTGTTCCTGAACATAAGTCATAACCTTCTGTCGCTCTCGTTACTCTATGTTTGACTATTGGTGTTCTGTTCACCACAGAAAATACCTAGCTTGACCTTGCAGTCATAAATATTTGAAATACGATATAAATGGACAGTTTTCCCGCTGTCGCCAGGTCGTTTTTTTCATGCAGGCAAGACAGATTCTCCAAATTAATTTGGTTAATCGAGCCCAAACGTTGCGTTTTATAAACTAACGATATTTAACGCCAATATAAATTTGTATTTGGGAAAGTATCACATGGGGACAATAGTAGTGGTATTTTGAGTTACCTGGTTGCTGACCGCAAGGATGCGTGTGCAGAGGACGACATTTGAAGTATAACGAAAACTTTTCTAACTAAATATATGACTTCATCTCCCCGGGGGGTCTGGTCCTTTTCAGAATACGCTCACACAAGGAACACTTTTCTAAAAACGAAAGACCGTCTTTTGTCACCGTCCATTATCACCTTGTGCCTGTGCCTGTGCCTGGTGCCTTTGGTACTAGATCCAATTTGTGAACTTTTGATTAGAAAAAGAGTAATATAAAATACTCTTTTCTTGTATCAGTCTGATCATTTTCATTAGCAATCACGGATGTCAGCATAAAATTAGCCATGATAATCGATGCAGATTTTTGAACACGAAAAATTGCATTCAGCTTGTCAATTATTGAAGCCAATCCTCCCTTATCATACAATTTCTATCTTCAGCGGCAATTGGGCCATTGCTAATGAGTGAGCCTGGAAAGTAAATGCGTCTTTTTAACCTTACGGAATTTATGCTTTTTGGAGTTTTACCACTACAACCGTCATAAATCTCTTTGGCAGAAAATTGATTGGAAAATTCGTTTGGTTATTTATGTGTGGTCTAGCAAGCGCTAGACCAAGATTTTCGAAAAAGCTTGAGGCTAACACTTTAGTTTTTGACTCTTAAAATAAAGTCGCCAAAGATTTTCCAATTATCAGTAGAGACTTTTAAATGTACCTTATGCATCTGAATTTCCTACACATTTTATTTCTTCTTTTACCTTTGTAATGTGAAAAGTAGATTACTAGCAATCATTTGATTTCTTCCATTCAGAAGGTCAATTGCGAAGAATCGACCAAAAATTTCAGTCCAAACAGTTGCTTGACATCGAATCAACAAGAGCAGCCTTTGAGGAGAGAATACGACACTGTCGTTACGAAATCGAAGCAGAACTACAAAAAAGTTACTCTGAAAAGGTGCGTTGACATTTTCATGGCCATACCTATACCTTCAAATAGTAGTATCTTTTGATCCTTTCGGCATGCGAAATAGCATAATTTTAATAACTATAGGTGGACTCACAGTAGCCACCTGATTTTATGTCAGTAGAGGCTACTCGCTGTCTCACGGAGCATACACGCAAGCAGCTATCCACGGCACCAACTTTATTCATAAGTATATGCCAAATGCCCTTTCATACTTCCGATGCCATTTTAGGTAACGGGCCTTCGTAAACTTGATTTAAACTTCGGAACCGATCATAAAAGCCCATGTCTCGGGCACATTACTCCGGGTGTTTTTGTAGTGGTTAGAGCGTTGGACTAAATACCAAAAGACCGCGTGTTCCAGCTTCGTACGACCTCAAAACTGGGATTGAGTAAGACTGGCTGACAGCAACTGATAAGCCGAAAATTCTCATTTAAGTCACCATTATTTTTTCTCGTAATAATATATATATTTTCGTTACCAAGTAATTAGTTTGATCAGCCTTCCGCAGATGGGTGTCCACTTTTTAAGAAAGTCTCTAATTCTTTCGAGTTGTTTTAGGTAGATTTTATTTAATAGTTGTGCTAAATTTCCTTTTAAAATGAAGGCTTCGTACGTTGCTCTGCTTTTGGGATGCCTAGATAAGGATTGAATTTTTTTCGACCTGGCCTAATTGGGGCGGACTTA